TCTCAGCACTAACCGCCGACGGGCTTAAACATGTTATTTTCTTAGTGTCACTCATCTCCGTGGTGCTCTCCGTTTTGTAATTCTCTCTTCAAGATGTTGGCCTCATGGTAGGGAGTTCATACCACATCGCACGGCCGCAGTCGCTAGGGGAATCCAAGTCAGCTCTCGGTGTGCACCCTCTCCCGACAGCCCCATTCCAGCTTCACCAGCTCTGATGTGGATACGGCGATTCTCTCTACCAGAAATACGCAAGGGTGCAGGTCAAGTGAAACCAACTCAATACTGACAATCTTTCCGGTCACCAGTGACGAGGGCGCAGGGGATCGCCGCGGCCTTCAAACCAATCGGTGGAGATCTTGGCGGCATTGAAACCCTTTGACTCGGGACCAGTGATCATTGGCACGGAAAGAGCAAGGTTAATCTTCACATATCACAAGCCCACATTTTCCACTCCCTGGGCACCGTCTGTTCCGTGTGAAATCTCTGAACTCGCATGGGTGGGGACGGGGGTTCGCAGGGAAGCACTGTAAGGGATCGGCCCGCTACGGCCTTGCGTCCCGTGGCAGGGGTTGGACAATCTTCACCACGTCTCCGTTTCTAAGGTCACAGTCAGCTGGCATCCACTCGACTCCTCCGGATGGACATACTGAACTAAAAGAACAAAAGCAAAATCTGCCCCTTCACACGGGGTAACTCGACTCCCTTCACACTGGAGGAACACTCTTGGGCTGGAACTCGGCATCAGACCCAAGTGGACGTCCGCTCTACTATGGCGTCCCGTACCTGGCCGGCTTTTTTTTATGACAACATGGAATGATTAGAAATTAGGAAAATAAGCGAAAATGAAATGATAAATTAAAACTGCCCATGTTTTACCTTAACTACTCACTGCTGTCAAGGAATTGATGGCTGTGAAAATAACGAACTTCAATACTTACTGCTGTCAATAAAACAACTGCAGTAGCTATAACAAACTTAACTAGTCTGTGTCCATAATCGGACTCAGTATAAACTGTTCTAGTTAGTATTGAAAACTGGGGCTACATGGGAATAAGGTTTCCGTAAAACTTCTACGTCAATCTAGCAATGGAACAAATGCAGTTATAATCTATAGTTCAATCTACCAAACATTTAAATCTCTTTAATAAGACCCCCCTAAAAATGAGAAGAAAAACAGAGCGGGCTAGCCCCTAGGGGCTGCCCTAAGGCTTACTGATAACTCTCTTCTAAGTCTGGTCTTAGTCTGTACTCGAATCTGTGAAAAACGCTCTCTCTGTACTCCAATCTGTGAAAACACTCTCTCTGTACTCCAATCTGTGAAAACGTTTTTTTTTTTTTTTCATACAGCGCGCCACTCTATTTATACTCTGACGCGGCGACGTCATCAGTCGCGCAAAGCAAGAGCTTTGCGTACGACATAGGTCAACATGAAGTGGCATATATGGCGGCTTCCATGCATTGTCGATGCACTGTAGTTTTGTCATCTTTAGAGTAAAGTTTCTTACAATTGACGGAAATAATTGTAGTAGGGGGAATCAAGTAAAAGTGGAGGGCAGGTACGTAACCGCTAACGTACCCTTCCAAAGTGAATTTCTGAAGGGATAAGGTGAAGATGTTGTATTGGAATGCAAAACAGAAGGGGGGGAGACGTTACACTAAATTTATTCTTGGAAATAAAATTAAGAATAGAAATAAAGCTTCCAGAGCACCCTGTGGATGTGCTGGGGTCTAATGAAAAGAACAGTTACTGTTAGTTCCCTGTGTACACTCAGACTCTGACTAGCCTTTTATAATGCACTTACATAAAGAAGATGAGTGAAACAGAGTTCTATTTATAGGGTTATTGAATGAAGAGAAGTAATAACATTAATAAGTAATAACATAGTAGTAGAGAATTAAGAAGCTACAAGAACGTCAAATATTGTGAATTACACTTCATAACAGAATAAACCAGCTCACGGAACATCAAACAAAACAAAACTACAGCATCAAAAGATGCAGAGAGCATCATGGCCTCCACGCGTGAGCCACGTCATTGGCCACACATGATGCAGCACGTCGTCCATGGCGGCGATGTGTAACACATTGCATTAAAATGTACAAGACAATTCTTTGTTGCAAAACAGGGTACTGTAGGGTTTTTTTTTTTTTTTTTTGTCAGTAGCAACTGTCTTACAATAATTTTCATATGCTTCAGAAAGCGAGGTAAGCATATATAGAGTTTGCAAGTCTGTCATCTTCTTTTCTCCATTGCTATCTCTTCTACAAATAATATCCGTCTTTACACCCAGGAACCTGCCAAGAGGTTTCATCCCTACAGTAAAAGTCTAACACTTCTTTCTTCACTGTCTGGTCAGTGCAAGGGTTCCCAACTGTTATTGAGGACTTTGGTGATACAAGTGCAGTTTTTGTTGCAAGTTTTACAGCTATGGTTCTTCTTTTTCTTGGTGAATTTGGCAAAGGAAATCATGCGTTTTTAAGAGCCTTTCCCGTGGTTAACTTTTGTTCTTCTTTTTCTTGGTGAATTTGGCAAAGAACATCATGCGTTTTTAAGAGCCTTTCCCTTGGTTAACTTTTGAATGTGCTTGAGATTGTCCATTGTAGTGCAGCATTTGTGTTTGATTGCTTTTGTTTCTGATGATAGATCTTTATGCGTTTGTTTACTGACTTACTTTGGATATAATACAATAACTTTTTCAAAATACACCTCATGCCAAAGGAGTAACACTTGACAATTTTAATGCTCTAGAAGTATGTTTGAGCAATATGGTCCCTAAATGCCCGTACATCATTTGGACCCTGATATATGATGCCCATGTCGCTTGGGGGACGCTGCTGCCCATCGTCACGGGGAAGTGGGTCTCCTCTGTTGATGGCAATATTATGGATATTCCATTCAATTTTAGACATTTTGTTCTTATCACCGGAAATAAAATCCATTAGAATATGGAGTAATAATTTAGGTTAAACCTGAAAAAGTCCGAATTCAGACAGTAATTTAAGATAAGTTTGTGATCTTTAGTAGAGCTTTCACCCAGCTTTACATTGCAGTCTTTACAAATAAATTTTGAAGTCAATTCAAGGACAGTATTTTAATTTTTTCTCTTTTCATTAAAAAAAAATTCTAAATTTCATGCCACTGGTTACTTCATAGCATTTTTCTGCACTTTTAACAGACTGACTGCCCCTTTAATTGACTGAAATTTAATGTTTATAAATTGGAACTGTATCTACTGTATTAACTGAGACTTTCACAATTTTCACAGCAATTTCATACACATCAAACTATTGTATGTAGCTGCACACACAAAGATAAAAGTCACTTTTTGCTAAATAGAGCAGTATGCATTATTATCCTCTTAAGAAGGGCCTTCAGTGGAAACACCTAGCAGATCTGATGCTGCGTCAGTTTTCAGACTGAATTTCTAGTTTGATTCGATTTGCTTTATAGATGATAAGCCACTTTCACAAACAGCAGAAGAGTGGTAGTGTTAAAATTATATCCACCAGATGAAGAACATTGCTGTACATTTGTCGTTGGGCATACAGATCTTGGATTGATGGCAACACTGCTGGATTGTTCACAATCTTCCTCCCCAGAAGCACCTTCACCTGGCTCCACCCAGGGGTAATTCCGCTGCATTACACTGCCGTGCAGCCAGGACTGTCATGCACAATATTTTTGTGTATATATGTAACAGTATATTTACGGCTCTGTAACGGAAAACAATGTCCAGCCCACTAGAAGTTAACCGTTGCGTTGTTTGTAACACACAAGAACATATCACTTGTATGTTTACTTTTGCAGTATAAATAAGAAAAAAACAATATAAATCTTTTTAAAAAATAAAATAAAACAAAAGAACTCAACCAATGTTTGTCCCTTACTGAGATAAATTCCAGCAGTTATAACACAGGAAAATGTCCAAAAATGTAGGGGTTTTAACGCAAGTGATATGTTCTTGCACGTTACAAACAACGTAACATAAAAATTCTTACACCTCCTCCACCACATCAGTGGTGCTACTGCATGGTGGCTCCATACCGTTGCAAATGTTGCAGATCGGTGCCTGTCTAAAGGGTGTATTTGGTGCCTCGGTTCCTTCTCAAGGTTCTTCAAGGGAGAAATTTCCCTCTACTACATTCCTCTCTGTTTTCTTTCTTTTCTCTTCTTCCTTCTTCTCTTTTCTACGTTTCACCTCCAATGCCCTCTGTACCTTTCTATCTAAACTATTCAAGCTGGGATCATTCACCTTTTTAGTCATGCACCTTTTTAACATTAACATTATTTTTCCTCATACAATTTACAACTTATTTTTATCAAGATGTCTTTTATCTCGGTACTTTCTGCTATCATATAAACCAAGTCCTATTTCTAGTACATCAGTATCTGGTGATAAGATTATCCCATTGTTTTGTGAACTATTCAGATTGTGAAGCCAGACTAAACTGTCCCCTTCTTCGTGGTTTGAACTTAGTAAAGCAGCCTCCTAAGACCTTAACAGAACATTTACAGCTACCCTGCATAGATCATTAAAACTACCAGCTACATACAACCTAGTACACCTATCTTAGTGTAATTGCTCACAGTGAAGCTGCAATAAGGTATCACCAAGGTAGGCAATTATAGTTTGCCCTTGTTAGTTCTTTTGCTTATAAAATTATGCCAGACTGTTGGTGATTTCTTCCACATTCAATCCTAAGGAGCCAAGCTTATCTCTCCTTTCACGTTCAACTTGTTTAGGAAAATATTTTTATAGACTGGTTTGTCAAAAATAATGTGAATTTCTACAATATCTGATTGTAAAAAGATTGTGCATATTGTTTGAAAGTTTTATGTTATGATACGGGGGTTGATGTAACCTAAAACATTGCATCAAGAACTACGCTAGTAATAAGTAACTTCCTTAGGGAACGCTATGTTAACCCTTTCGCCCTCATATTACCCAGGGTACACCGGTGCTGTATCCTTGCATTATTTGAGCAAAATTCACCAAAACAGACATAAAATGTTTGAAGCAACACCAAATCTCTATTTCTTGATCAAAGTTTACCAAATTTTCAGCAATTAGTAACAACTATATGAACTTCACAAATGTGATGTTTTTTTGGCAATACCTTACCTTACAATCTATTAATTAACCATTTACAGGTGAGAACAGGTAAATTTTGCATAAATTGAACTTTATATTGAATTAAATTGTACATGCGAAACTGTTTATTACCTTCAATCAGTCAAATTACCTTCAGTCAGAGATAGTATCCACATATGTATCCTTTCCATAGATGAAAGTCAATCATATGATGAGTAATGAGTTATGACTAACGAGCCAGGTATAGTGTACGCAATATATTCACTTGTTATAAGATTGTGCAGTTTTCAAATAAAGTGCAGTTTTCAAATAAAGTACATAATATGATTAAATGTGTTGTTATTTATGCCTATGTACACAATTCATAATGTTCCTGGTTACATTTTAAGTTAATTGGAGATCCAGGTAAGCTCCACTAATTACAGGTGTGCTAAAGCATGTGTTCATGGTGAAATTCAGTGAAACAACCTGACTTGCAGAGTGCCACGCAACAGATTACACACTGGAAGGTTGTCTCCACCTTACGGCCACTTGGTGTCCTCCTCTGCCTAGCAGAACACTGTACACACACCTTTTTCCTGGTTTCAAGCTTAACGAGCCTGTGCGCACCTATGTTCCCTTCGGCTACAACCACATTTTCCACTGTGTTTTTTCGCTTCCGACCAGCTTTCTGTTTGCTGCTGTAACCAGCAATTAGAGTCCTGGCAACATTCAACCTGAACATGAGGTGGCTTTGTTTGGGTGGGCACTCATCATCATCATCCAATTGGCCAGGTAATGTTTCCTGGTATAGAATAAATGAGTTAATTACACAAAGGTCAACAATGAACCACAAGAGGTACTTCCACCACTTTTTCGATTCACGTCCTACTGGATAATAAGCCCTCATTTGGTCAGATAAGTCAACACCACCCATGAACTGGTTGTATTTCATAATTGCAATTGGCTTGGCTATTCCATGGAGTTGACCATCTCGTGCACGTCGACGTAAAACCTGAATGTCACCTGGATTTTGGCAGGTAGCCAAAAGCGCAACTTTTCTTTTGTCAAACCACACGACTGCAAGCATATTTCCTTTTTGCATTTTGATGCTCTCTCCTTGGATTTTGGGGTTGGCTTTTTTTATTTCTGGTGGGAGGCCTTTCCTGTTTAGCCTTACTGTGGAACAAGAGTAGGTGCCATTTTCCTCCAGGTGTTCTAGGAGCTTGACCGAACTGAAGAAATTGTCAAAATAGACATGGTGGAACTTATTCTGGAAGGGTATTGTGAGGAAATCTACAACCTTGTATCCTAGGTTCTGGCCTGCTCTGTTGTCATGGGCATCCTTGCCTGTATATACCTTCATATTTAGTACATACCCTGTGGCAGAATCTGCTAACTCCCACACCTTGATGCCCCATTTAGTGGGTTTTCCAGGCATATATTGTTTGAAGTTCAGACGTCCTTTGAAACCAATCATTGCTTCATCAACTGACAATTCTCTACTAGGTTCATATGATTTTTGAAAGTTTTCAACTGCCATGTCAAAGAGAGGTCTTATTTTGGCAATAGTATCATGACCATTCTCTCCATGGGGTGGGTTATTGGTGTCATCAGTGACATGAATGTACTGAGTCAGCTTTTCATACCTGGTTTTGGACATAATCTTTGAGATGACATCTACTCTCAGGTATTCATCTTCAGACCAGTAGCACCAGTATGCAGGTAATTGGTGAATGCCCATCAATATTTGAATGCCAAAATATGCCTTGATTTCTTCAACTGTGGCTGGGTACCATCGCGGATCTGGTCCCTTAGCAACTGCATACCTGTTCGTTTCGTTGGTAATGACATCAAAGAACTGGTTTTCAAACAACAGATAAAAGTAATCCAGTGGATTGTGGTCAAATTCTAAATCATGCACAGGCCCTACTGGCTGCCTAAATTCATGTAAATCAACATCACGCAGTCTATTACTCCATCTATTATCGTCATCTGACAGGTCACTGTCATTGCCAGGTGAGCTCCTACCTGTGTCACTTTCACTATCACTCCAACTGAAGTCACTCAGATCCGATGTATGCACCGAGCTTACATCAATGTCAGAATCATTTCCACCACTTCTACTGCTTGTACTAGCTTCTGTACGTAACCTAGCAAAATATTCATCAG